AAAAAAAAAAAAAAAAAAGAAATTGGTTAATATGTATTTGTTATACATATATTTAACAATATGGAAAAATATACTAATTGTCAACCTTTCAGAGTTTATTTCTTTATATAGGAAAAAAATACAGAGTGATTTTAATAAAGCACTCAATTCCTATTTTCTTCTTAGAAGAAAAAAAGTATATAACACACACTTATCATGCCCTGGATTGCTTACTTTTACAAAAGAAATCAAAAAATGCAAACATTATAACCTAGTTGATTGTACATTCACATTAATCTGAAATTAAAGAAAAAGATATTGAAAAAAACCACACGGGCTCAGCGCCTGTGGCTCAAGTGGCTAAGGCGCCAGCCACATACACCTAAGGTGACGGGTTCGAATCCCCAGCCCGGGCCCGCCAAACAATGATGGCTGCAACCAAAAAATGGCCAGGCGTTATGGTGGGCGCCTGTGGTCCCAGCTACTTGGGAGGCAGAGGCAGGAGACTTGCTTGAGCCCAGGAGTTGGAGGTTGCTGTGAGCATGATCCAGGGGGATAGCTTGAGGCTCCGTCTCAAAAAAAAAAAAGAAAAAAACCACACGAATCTAGACTTGAGTGCTAGGAATGCTGTCACAAGGCATGTGTATTGACCTTAATAAAAAATAAATTCAGTTGATATCCTTTATTTCACCGTCTCCTTACATCCTTGCCATCCCCCTTACTCAAAGTTTAGGGGCAATGACTCTACACCACTAGTGTTGTGGTGGTACCTGTGTCCCCAAGTTCTGATATCCTCTCTCTAAGGTAATCCATTGACATGGACCTGAAAACACCAGTGACACCACTCTCTCGGATTCCTAGAAGGGAGGGTACCTGGCACACAGTCTCTACTCCTACAAGGAGAGGAGAGGCAAAGATTCTCTGAGCCTCCATTCACCTCTTTACTTTTATACCCATTAGGCCTGCCCAGCCCTCTTAGAAGACTCACAGGAGAGCAGGGGCTGGAGGAGGACTCTGTTCCTAGGATGTTTGGAGCCAGGAATCAGTCTGGGAACTTTGCTGCCCTGGTAATACACAGAACACAGGAAGGCCTGAGGAGTCTGGCCTGTACAGGGTAGGGCTCTAAATTCACAGCCCAGGTAAAAGGAGATAGGGAAACAGCATTTCTGTGCATTGAAAACTGGGTGGTCACTGTGACCACTGCCCTGTCAGCATTTCAAAGTCTGGTGACAATCTTCAGGTAAATGCCCTCATGATCAGTGGATACAGGAGCAATGGTGGAGGTTGGGGAATTGCACATCCTATCACTGAAGGTCTTGACCAGGCCATGTTAATCTTTTTAATGGCAAAGATAATAACATCAAAGAAAATGTTTACAATAGAAATAAGAAATTGCAGAACCTTAATGCTTTACTGCACACATTTTCATGACCTCTTCCTTCACTGACTTGAGACCTACAATTTAGAGTCTGCTCTTTTTATTTAATGTGACCCCAAACAATAGCAACACAATAGTCATGCTCCAGAGGAAAGCAGGGGCCTGTGAAGTGTAGCAGTATTTCTGCAGGGGCCCTGCCTGGGACCCCTTATAGGCTACTGGTTAACAGAAGTGAGGCGACTCCTTTGACGACTGTGGGTGGTGGAGCCTTAGCTCACGTCTCTAGCTGGAGCCCTGGGCTGGGCTGTGTGAACATTCCAAGAGAATTCTGCTGGTAGAAGATGCCTACCCTGTCCATCTAGAAACAGCACAAGAAGGCAGGGAAGGTCTACCTAGAACCAGGTCCCCAAAGGAACGTGGTCAAGGGACTAATAGATGGTGTGTAAGGACCAAGTTTTACTCAGATCCCTCTTAGCCCTACCTTCCCCAAGTTTCTGTATCTACCACAGTGGAAGTTTTCTGAAAGAAACACTAGGGACCTCTCTATTGTCCTCCCAGTCTAGGACCAAGTGAAAGAACTTAATAATGGGCAAAGAAATCCTTGTCTAAAATGGCTGCTGCCCACTGCAACCCCAGCCCCTGAGCCACACTGTTGCTTCTGCACATGAAGCCACCAGGGGGCAGGCTGGGCCCACAATGAGACATTTCCTCCTAGAGAAAACGGATTCCGTGTGCAAAGACCCATCTTCAGAGCCACTTGTCTACCTCCCTGTCCCCCAGGGTCTTTGCTCTCCTGGCCTCAGCTGTGCCACTGGCTAAAAGTGAGTGAGAGGGGGTGGAAGGTTATTATTTCAGAGTTGGTTAGGGCCCCTGAGTCCTTCAAATTTGATACCTTACCACAGTGCCTCGACCACATTGTGTTCAATCATGTATAAATATATAACAGTCATGTGAAATTGAAGTAGCAAGAAATCCAAAGGAGAATAGATTTAGGGGAGGGAGCTATGCATAGGAGAAGGGCTATCCTGTGACCAGGTAGGTCCAGATTCCTAACATTGCCCAAAAGTCCTACAACGTTCTTCCACACACAGAGCCTTGAGGTGGTAACACACAAGCACAGTGACCAGGCTGAGAATGCCGGCATGTGTCTGCAATTTGTCTAGGGGTGGGAAAGGAGTGACATAACTCAGAGGCTAAGCAGAGCAGCACAAAGGCTACAAAGGCTACAGCTTTCATTCCCAGCTCTCAACTAGACAGACCCCTCCAGGTGCAGATACTAAACCCTACCTGGCGGGCCCTGCTGAGCTCAATCACTCTCAATAGCAGAAGACCAGTCCTGGTTGCTCCCTTACCCTAGGACCATTCACTTTATTTTTTTACACAGGTAATCCATATTTATTATAAAACATGCCACATCCACTCTTTATTGGACACCCGTGCCAGCACCAGCCCCCTTCTCTCCAAGCACAAGGGCACGTGGACAAGGGGCTCCATCCCCGGCCAGGATGCAGTGGAAGCCTGGCCCGACTACCTCTCCTAGGGCCAGCACCTTCCTCGGTGCCAGGGGCTGCTGGCTCAGTCCTGTTCAAACTCTTGCTCACAGTAGCCTACATTGAGGGGCTGGGCCTGGACACCTCGCCTGCAAGAGGACAGGGAGAAATGGCAACATGAGCCCCTCAGAAGGAGCCAGTATTAGGCCCTAGCAACACCTCCACTTTAGTGAACAGTCCCCCTTCCCCATTTCAAGGATGCTCAAACTGTCACTGTATACCAAAAGGACATGGGGCTCTCGCTTCTGGAGATTCTCACTTGCTATGGGGTGAGGTGTTGGTAAGACTTCAATTTCAACAGGTATCTCATGTGATTTTGATACAGAAAGACCCCAGGCACTTTGCGGAACACATCACCCCCACCATCCTGCCTGTCTCTGTACCCCAGCACCAAATAATTCAGTCCCTTTAGAAAACAGGTAGATGGGGGCTGGCCAATGCTCTTGACCTACTTAGCCCTCTGCTCCTAGCTCTAAAACAGCAGTTCTCAACTGTCGTGACCCACAGGAACCATATTAAAGGGTTGCAGCATTAGGAAGGTTGAGAAGCACTGCTCTAAAATATTGTAAATGTGGCTCTCTCCCTCTCCCCCCTCACTCGTCTCTGCTCTCTGCTCTCCCTCTCTCTCTTCTCCACTCTCTCCTCATCTTTCCTCTCTTCTCTTCTCTTATTCTCTCCTCCTTGGTGCTGCTCTGCAGCCTCCCCCCACCCCCCACTAATAAAGACCTTTCGTACAAATAAATAAATAAAACATTGTAAATGGGGTTGCAGAGGGGGACAGGATAGCTGTCCAGCCCATGCACTTGGGCATGAAATCTTGTCCTCAGGCCTCACACTTGCAAGTTACAAGAACTGATCAATCACCTTAAGAACCTTTCAGCTGGCTTGGTGCCTACAGCTCAGTGAGTAGAGTGCAGGCCACAAACACTGAAGCTGGCAGGTTCAAGCCCATTCCGGGCCTGCTAAACAACAATAACTTCAACCAAAAAAAAGCTGGGCATTGTAGCGGGTGCCTGTAGTACCAGGTACTTGGGAGGCTGAGGCAAGAGAATCGCTTGAGCCCAACAGTTTGAGGTTGCTGTGAGCTGTGACGCCTTGGCACTCTACCTAGGGCGATAGCTTGAGGCTCTGTCATAAAACAAACAAACAAACAAACAAACAAACAAAAAACACCTTTGGGCATGTTTCCTTTATTACCCAGAGGAGCAACATGCTTAGAGAACCAGCTTAAAGTCACCCAGTGAACTGCAGAGAGTGGAGGTTTAGACCCTGAAATACGTGGTCCAGGATCTGGTCTGTACTAAACTGTCCTCCAGGATCTCAAGACCTAGTCAATGAAGGAATCTGGGACAATGACTGTATACAGGCCTGTCCCAAACAGAGGTGAAGATATCATGAGAGCCCAAAAAGTCAGCTTGGTTCAAATCCTACTTCTTAGTGACTTGGACAAGGGACTGACTTCTCTGTCCCTCAGTCATCTACCCTGAAATGGGGATAAAAAGCGCACCTACCTCATCGGGCTGTGAAGCTTCACTGAGACTACGCCCGTAAAGAGCTTAGCACAGTGTTTGCCACCAAGTCCAGTCATGCCTTGGTGTCAGCAGGGGACTGGTTCTAGGACCCCCGCAGATACAAATCTGTGGATACTCAAGTCTTTTATATAAAATGGTGTAGTATTTGTACATAACCTATGTGCAACCTCCCATATACTTTAAATCATTTGTAGATTATTTATAACACCTATTGCAATATAAATGCTGGGTAAATAGTTTTTTTTTTATTATTGCATTGTTATTATTTATCTATTTATTTTCCAAATGCTTTCTATGGCGGTTAGTTGAATCACAGATGCACAACCCTGGGATATGGAGGGCTACCTATAAGCCTCTGTAAGTATTAGCTATTGTTATCATTCTTTCTCTTTCTTTTTTTTTTTTGAGACAGCGCCCCAAGCCGTCCCCCTCTGTAGAGTGCTATGGCATCACAGCTTACAGCAACCTCCAACTCCTGGGCTCAAGCGAGTCTCCTGCCTCAGCCTCCCAAGTAGCTGGGACCACAGGCGCCAGCCACAATGCCTGGCCATCCCTTGGTTGCAGCCGTCATTGTTGTTTTTGGCAGGCTCGGGCTGGATTTGAACCTGCCACCCCAGGTGTATGTGGCTGGCGCCCTAGCCACTTGAGCCACAGGTGCCAAGCCCATTCTTTCTCTTTCAAGAAGAGGGTCCCAAGCCTGGATCTGCCCCACCCATACCTTAGGAAGCCCCACAGCCTACTCACCTCAGCAACTCACAGCGGAAGCGTGACAAACGTCTATAGGCAAACTTCACGTCAGAGATTAACTTGTTGCTCCACAGCCTCTCAGCAACAGCCCCTGCTCTGGGCCTACAGAAAATGAATGGGGTATGTGCAGAGTAGATTGTGTCTTCCTGCAAAGATGCTAGACATCCACAGACTGCCGCCTCTTGTCTAGGTCCCCTGGACCAGTTCAGGGCCAAGGGATGTGATCGACCACCCTGTTTAGAGCTACAACTTGGCGGAATAACTGCCCCAGAATTCTAGGGCCTGGCTCCATCTTCATTAAAATGTGGATAGTGACCCCATTCTCTTCCTCTCCCAAAGATATGGGGAATAAGAATAAGCTTTAGGGGTTGGCGCCTGTAGCTCAATGGGTAGGGTGCCAGCCATATACACTGAGGCTGGCAGGTTTGGGCCTGGCCCAGGCCTGCAAACAACAATGACAATTCCAACCAAAAAATAGCTAGGCGTTGTGGTGGGCGCCTGTAGTCCCAGCTACTTGGGAGGCTGAGGCAAGAGAATTGTTTAAGCCCAAGGAGTTTGAAGTTGCTGTAAGCTATGACACCATGGCACTCTACTGAGGGCAACATAGTGAGACTGTCTCAAAATAAAAAAATAAAAGAATAAGCCTTAAAGGTGCCATTAATTGGTAGTGAAAGCAGAAGCACATGTCCTTAAAATGTAAGCTCTGCACACTCAACCTTGCTTGGTAAAGCTGCTGAGGGAAGCGTTATTGTAGGAATCGTGAATGTTCAGTGTTAGATCCTGAGTCTGGCACCTGTGCTCTCTAGACCTCCAGAATCTCTACCTATTCTACATACCTCATGGGTTACTGGAAAGAAACATGGAAGCCATGAGGAAGGGAAGATCACATACAAACAGAAGGCTCAAGGAGTGCCTCCACTCTCTCAGGTCTGAGAGGAGGGCGCTAGTCTGGAGGTGGCTAGATGGGAGAACCCCTGCCCTTAAGCCCAACCCTCTAGATCCCCAGAATACCCTTACCAGAGCCTGGGGACCAGGTTTGTGCTGTCCACATACTCTCCCCACATGCAGGCCTCTCCACCAATCACCAGAGCCTTCTGCTTTCGGGTACCTAAAGGTGGCAACAATGGGCTGGTGGTGGTGGAGGAAGTCTAGGGATCCCCTTCCGCCATGTTCCCAATGTGGTCCTCTCCTCAAGTAAGTTGTTTCATGTCCTACACAGATATGTCGTGCCTGGACCTTCCTGCCTCCCACTGTTCCCCAGCCCAGCCTCCTTTGGTCAGCAACAGGAGCTCCCTGCTTTCACCTTCAAATTCTAAGGGTTCCACTAGGTAGAACTCCTTCCAGTCAGGGCCATAAGATATACGGTTCAGGTACCAGGGGGCAGAGAGTAGGGCCCGGAAGCCAGCCTTGGTGATCAGTTCCAGCTCCTTCATGTAGCTCACTGGTACCTCTTCTCGCCATACCTGTATGATCGTGTCTGGCCGAACCTGTCACAAAAGGTCAAATGGCAGTAATAGTACAGAGCTGAGGAGATTCCTGGGCCTCATTCAATGCAGGCAACCTGGGCCAAAGGTTGTGTCCCCCCCCATCCCCCAGCAGAAAAGTATGTTTCTGTGACTCCTCACTATTGCGCTCACACTTTAGTACATGGCCAAGAAGTTCACAGGCCCTAAGAGATCCTTGCTGCTCTCCTTCCCCAGGCCCTGTGCACCTTCCCTTCCCACAACAGAGCCTGTGATCCTGGCTGTGAGCTGAGGAAGGCAAGCAATGGAGCCCAGGTGCTACCATACCCAGGAGTCTCCAGATGTTGCTGGGCATGGCACAAAGTTTCTGCAGAGCCCCTACCTGTGAAAGAGGCTAGGATATTATTATGAAAAATGAAGAAGGTGGCCCTGTTCCCACAGACTCAGTGGGAAGACCCTAGTGTGTGACTCAGGAAGGAAAATCCAGCTCATCATGCCAGTCTCTGGAATCCCAAGTGACCCAGCAGCAGAAATAACTCTTGATCAGTTGGTAGCAAGGGAGGACAGACAAAGGTTCTGCCACGTAAACCTGGGGCTCATACCTCTGCCGCCTTTCTAGAAAGAACAGAAGAGTGCTCTGACCACTGAAACCTAGTCTAAACCCAGAGGACAGGTCCCTGCAGAGGCAGAAAGGGCTGGGAGACCAGGGGGAGGCACTGCTGGTGGCCCTTTCTCTTCTCAACCCTGGCTCACCTTTACTTTATTATCAAACACCTCCTGCCACACCACATAGCCCTTGTCATAAGAAGAGACAATGTCCAGTAGCCTGCGGAGGAGAGGAGTGTCAAGTAAAGGGCCTGCTTAGCTCTCGCTGGCTCTAGGCTGTTTATGCCAGTGCACTAGGGACTGAGTCTGGCCAGGGGCCTGTTTCCAATTGAGCAGTGTCTTCCCCAGTATGGGGACAGACCACTCCAATCCAGAAAGGATAGGCCAAAGGGACCCTTCAGAGACCCTGATATGGAAACCAAGGACCCCACAGGAGGTGACTCCCAAGGGACCCCACCCACTCTCCTTCCTTCCTCACGTCTGGATGTAGTAGGACTCCAGCTGCTTGAAGTCTTCACCAAAGCCTTTCTTCTTCATAAACTCCTGGATATCTGGGTTGGACTTCCTGAATCCCGTGAGAAAATAAAGATTAATATTTCAACATCCAGAAAACTTAAAGCCTGGGGATTAGTTACCTGGCCTCCCACAACTTCCTCTTTTCACCTAAAAACCCAAATAGCCAAGAATCTCACAAGCCCTGAACATGGAATGTGTGGCTAAGCAAAGCTATGTGAAGGGTGCTGCTGACAGGCTGAGAAAGGATGAGTTTTAAGTTCAAACTCCCAAAGAGATCACATTTAATCCTCTCTCTGGACTGTAACACCTGGGTCCAAGTTATCAGTGTTGAACTCTATATACTTAGCTGCTAATCCAGGTTGATGACAAGTCCTGCTGGTTATCACCTGCTATGGATCCCTTACCTCACAACATATACACTTTGTTTTTTTATTTATTTATTTATTTATTTTGCAGTTTTTGGCTGGGGCTGGGTTTGAACCGGCCACCTCTGATATATGGGGCCGGCGCCCTACTCCTTTGAGCCACGGGCGCCGCCCAACATCTACATTTTGTTCACCTAGTTCTCCTTCTGCTCATGTCTCCAAAAAACCAAATTCGTTCCCCAGAAATAGTTCTAGTACCCAATTCTTGGACAAGACCTCAAACTCTTTTGAGCTCACTAGATCTGAGAGTTTGGATTTTACAATTTAATACTAATTAGATACTGATATATTTAATCATGAATTCTGTCTCTTGACTCTTCAACCAGACTACTTTAATCCCTTAATAAAAGGATTATTTTTCTCTGTCCTGAACTTTTACAAGAGCTGATGTTTTGGGGGTTTTTTTGAGTCTTACTCTGTCCCCCTAGGTAGACTGCCATGGCATCATAGCTCATAGCAACCTCCAACTTTTGGGCTTAAGTGATCCTTTTGACTCGGCTCGGTGCCTGTGGCTCAAGCGGCTAAGGCGCCAGCCACATACACCTAAGGTGGCAGGTTTGAATCTCCAGCCCGGGCCCGCCAAACAACAATGATGGCTGCAACCAAAAAATGGCCGGCCATTGTGGCGGGCGCCTGTAGTCCCAGCTACTTGGGAGGCTGAGGTAGGAGACTCACTTGAGCCCAGGAGTTGGAGGTTGCTGTGAGCTGTGATGCCATGGCACTCTACCCAGGGGGATAGCTTGAGGCTCCGTCAAAAAAAAAAAAAAAAGAAAAAAGTGATCCTTTTGACTCAGCCTTCCTAGTAGCTGGGACTACAAGGTGTCTGTCATAACACCCAGCTAGTTTTTCTATTTTTAGTAGAGATGGGGGTCTTGCTCTTGCTCAGGCTGGTGTCTTGAACTCCTGAGCTTAAGCAAACCTCTCACCTCGGCCTCCCAGAGTGCTAGGATTACAGGCATGAACCACCACACCAGGCTCCAAGAGCTGGTTTTTAAAATAAATATCTCAAGGATATGAGAAAGGAGAAAAGGAGAAGGCCTAAGACATAACCAATGTCAGTGAGGACAGACTGCTGCCTCAAAGGTCAGCCCCTGAGAACCAGCTGAATTAGGCGCCCCTGGGGTGCTAACCTCTCTTCTGAGTAAGCAATTCATCAGGTGAGATGGGAGGATCAAAGGGCTCATACCAGCAGGTGAAATCAACCTCATCTCCTCCCAGGTGAAGATAAAAATCCGGGAAGACAGAGCTGACCTCCAGGAAAAATGTGCTCATGAACTCGTAAGTATTGTTGAGACTGGGATTCACTGGTCCAAAAGTGCCAGAGGGCTGAGACCCAGAGTAACAAGGAGTCAATAATCCGGGGATACCTAAATCGATAGAGAAGCCCATGCAAGTGTCACAATTACCTAGACGCTCATGCACACTTCCACAAATAAAGACATAAGTCACACAAAGTAAGACAATCACGCTCATGAATGTCATACCTACTCAAGCATTCAGACACTGGCAGTCACCACCATTTAGTCATAAAGAAATACAAACACGTATATCCAGAGTCATAGACAGGCAGAGGCTGGGTTCCAGCCAGTCAACTGTCAGCATACACTCCTGCCTTGACACATGACTTCTTGGCTCCCATAGGCTGCTCTCATGCCACCCTAGGCAGAGAAGCAGAGGGAGAGCCCGGTCCAGACAAATTGGCAAATCTTTCTTCTGTCTCCTCCTATATGTTGGAGCAACTATCGCCTAGAATATCTCTAATTTCCTAAGGGGCATCTCCTTGGGCCCAGAATCTTTCCCTCCTGAGGTTGAAGCCAAAGATACCTTCAAATTTCTACAAGGCAAGTAGCCTCTTTTAACCTTCCTTTAACAGCTTCAGGGCTCAATCTAGGGGGTGGGGGGTTACTGGAGGGGGTGGAGTACAAAGAAGAGATGAGTGAGCAGGAGTAGTGACTGTCCAACTCTGACATCCAGAGGCCACCCTGGGCTGCTTTCTTTTGGATTCTACCCTGGGAGTGAGATTCCTCAGCATCTACTCTAGGGCAGAACCACCTGCAAGGGCATCCGAGAATCTGCCCACATTTTTTTTTTTTTTTTTTTTTGAGACAGAGCCTCAAGCTGTCCCCCTGGGCAGAGTGCCGT